TGGGTGGATACATTGGGCCATGATTGTGGGAAATAGATCGATGGCTAACAGAAGTTATACAGAGCGATACTTCGAGCTGCTGAAGGACGCCAAAGTCAAGGGATACCTCTTCGCGCAACAGAACTACATGGATGAACCGTTCAAGAAGCAATAGATGTCGTGGAGAAGTGTGAAGAGCTGCCTCTCCAACACGCCAAGGCAGACGGGCTACGATATCGCATGGACCAGTCATGTCGGGATAGGGACTACGCCGATGACCCCAACCCCAGGCGGTATGATACTTTCGACTCCAGAGAAAAATTGCAGTGGCTTTCGAACTTGGCAAACCTGTACATATATGAGCCAGAGAGAGGATGCACTAGCATGAGAATTACAGAACATTTGTACAACATCTGGGTACAGTTCAGCTCTTAGTAGTCACCACTAATGTGTGAAACGTCCAGGTATCATCAGCGGTCCATTTGATCTATTTGGTGGATACCTACCAGTTCAAGGCATGATGCAGCCAAGGCTAGTGTCACCCCGCTACCGCTACAACCGCGCCAACCACTCCAAACATCAACACTCGACACCCACAATATGCCTTTCCCGTTCCTCCTGCCAACCACTTCGAGCATATCCTTCACCGATTACTTCAGTAGCAGCACACATCCATCGCTACCGAACTGTGCAACGACTGCGCGAGGCGTCCTTCGCGATGTGCTTAAACGTCACAAGCGCATCCCGCCTGCCTCACGAGCCTCGAACCTCTCCATCATCATTTCCGCCCTCAATGAATACATACCATATCTGTTCGCGCTCGATGCGGGGCTGAGCGGTGCAAGCTGCGCCGGAGAAGAGATCGACCTGGTTCTAGTCAAAGAGCTGGAAGTCGAATGGCGCTCAACTCTGGGATCCTCGATACCTGGTCGGGAGCCTGCGAGAGTGAAGCTGAAGAGTCTGGAGAGCGAACTATGCTATACGCTTTCGGCACTCGCATACGTCTACAGTCTCCAAGCTCGAGCACAGCTGCACACGCTCTACAACGCGATCGTCCCCACACCCGAACAGCGCGCAACAGCAATCGGTGCTGCAATGAAGCACTTCCTCGAAGCGAACTCCATACACACATACCTGGTCAACCGAGCGGGGCAATGGAACGCTCAGTCTGCAGCAGTAGACATATCAACACCTGTGCTGGGGGCGTTGGCAGAGCTTACCATGGCCGAAGCTACACTCATCACGGTGTTGAAAGACGACCCGTACCCAGCTGTCGTGATAGAAGACAGAAACAAGCAGAGCAAAGACTGGATGTTCCGAGGCGTAGACATACCCAAAGTCCGCGCGCATCTCTTCGCCCGCCTATGCCTTGCCTCTTCCGAACACGCTGCCAAAGCCCAGGCTATGCTAGACCGGTCACCAAAGATCAACGAAAACTTACTCAGGTACGTGGATGATCTGAGGCGAACAGCGAGAGGCAAAGCATGTCGATTTCTCGCCTGCGATGCTGAGTCAGGCGGCAAGACTGGAGACGGCATTGCATGGCTTCGCGGCGCGAGGAAGGAACTAGGCTTTGCTTCTTTGGACGCAGAGGAAGAGAAGAAGGCTTCTGGTTTCTCAAAGTTGAAGAAGGGGTGGCAGGAGAAGAAGGAAGATCGCAAGATTGAGAAAGGCGTAGATTGGGGAACCGATGCGGGAAAGTTCGAAGAGGGCCGTATAGTAGATATGCTACTCAAGAAGTGGGAGAAGCAGAACGATACGGTATGTTCTGGGTTGTTGGCCTATTTGCTGAGCTTACTGGGTGTACTAGGTCGGTGTTCAACTAGTGCCTCCTTCAGAGCCGCTGCTGGCAAGCATGCCGTCTGGACGAGAGTATCACTCGACGAAGATGTTTATAATCCCAGCACTTGATGAAGATTCTCTTGTCCGCATGAGGGCGCCTCCAGATCCAAGCGAAGCATTCAAGGGCGACGAAGACGATAGCGCCGATGAAGATGAGCGAAGTCCTCCTGCTGGAGCGTTTCCGGGCACGAAGGCTAACTATGCTCCAACTTCAAGTTACTACTGAGGCAATCGTTCAGTGGTCGTCCTAGTTGATTGTGCGACGCCTTTGCGTATGCAGGTAACAATGGTCTTTTGTCATCCTGTGCATTGTTCCGAGTACAGAATACCAATATCAACTTATCGGCGCTATCACGCCGTTACCCTGTCATGTGGGGATAGGACCGTTGCACGGAAAGTCATGCCTATCCAAGCATGTCCAGCCGTGAGGAAAGAGATCTACCTAAGATGTGAGCCAGGTCTCAGATATCGGAACAACTCCGTTCCAACCCAATTGCAACTATGACAGAGAGACATTTGAAGTCACGCCCTCTCAGTGCGACGCTCATGCATACCCCATTACCTCTCTTACAGCTTGTGGCATCTTGCAGGTGCCAAAACATTCTTTGGTTCTTGCGCCATGCGTTGCGTTCGCGTCCGCTAACCCCGGCCCGCGCATCTCCTCCACACTCACTCTCCTCTAGGTAGTCTAGCCGGAACGCCCGACCTCCCACTGATAAAGAGATAGCGACGTCGCCGATCGTCATTCGCTCTGCGCACGCCTATCTTGACGGCCGGTTGCGTTCGCAACATCTCTCCTCGCGTGTAGTGTCCCGCTTCTCTAGTGACACCCCCGCATGGCCCTGCTGTAAGTCTGCCCGAATATTTGTATATAGACATGGAGCTGCACTCCGTCGCGCTGTACTTCTTGCTCGATATCTAATGTGACGACGTTTGAACATCGAACTTTTTTAGTAGCGAATATTCTTCCCACGGCCATTTTAAGCCATTTACGCGTGCATGCCCACCGAACCGTTCCGACAATGACCATCTTTCGGAATGGATCCCTGGGTGAAGGACCCGCTACATACGTCCTTCCAGATGGCGACGTGCCCTACAATCCTACGCACTCTCTCGACCCGGATGAGGAGGCGCTAGCTGCCCTTGGTTACAAGAGTGAATTCAAAAGAGAGTTCTCGCTGTTTACAACATTCTGTGTCAGCTTTGCGGTGTTGGGATTGCTACCGAGTTTTGCAAGTACACTATACTACGGCATGGGATATGCTGGGACTGCGGGGATGACGTGGGGCTGGATTGTTGCCATGTTGGGGATTCAGTGTGTTGCGATGAGCATGGCGGAATTGTGTAGCAGTATGCCCACGAGTGGAGGATTGTACTATGCTTCTGCTGTCCTGGCACCCCCGGGATGGGGGCCTTTTGCTGCGTGGCTTACTGGCTGGAGTAACTGGCTTGCTCAAGTTACGGCGGCACCGTCTGGTCAGTTCCAAGTTACTTTTGATCTACCTGCGTTCAAATTTAACGTGTTTAGGTAGTCAACTACGGCATTTCCGCAATGATACTCGCCGCAGCTTCCATCAGCAACCCTGACTACGTCCCCACGGACTATCAAACCTTCCTGCTCACCGTCTTCATCATGATCCTCCACGCCATCCTCTCCTCGATGCCCACGAAATGGCTGGCGCAGTTCAACTCGGCTGGTTCGACGTTCAACTTCGTTGCGCTCATTGTGGTCATCATCTTGATTCCGGCTGGGACGGACCGCTCGTCACGCGGCTTGCCTCGCTTTGCGCCTTCTGGCGAGGTCTGGGGTACAATATATGAAGGAACGTCGTTTCCTCCTGGGATATCGGTGCTGATGAGCTTCATCGGTGTGATCTGGACGATGAGCGGATACGATTCCCCATTCCATCTCGCAGAGGAGTGCTCAAACGCCAATATCGCTTCTCCCCGTGCGATTGTTCTGACTTCAGCTACTGGAGGTATCTTTGGCTGGTTCTTGCAACTTGTCGTCGCCTACACGGTCGTTGATATCGAGTCTGTCCTCGATTCGGATCTGGGCCAACCTTTTGCTGCGTATCTCATGCAGTGCATGTCGCAGAAGATGACGCTAGCGATTCTCGCCCTGACTATCATTGCGGGGTTCTCGATGGGTCAAGGGTGTATGATCGCGGCGAGTCGTGTTACCTTTGCGTACGCGCGTGATGACTGCTTTCCGCTCAGCAAGTACTGGAAGCGCGTAAATCAGCATACTCAGACACCTGTCAATGCGGTGTGGTTCAACTGCGCTATCGGCGTTCTTTGCTTGCTGCTTATTTTTGGGGGATCGTTGGCTATCGGTGCACTGTTCTCTATAGGTGCGATCGCAGCTTTCGTGTAAGTACCGAACTTCCTTAGGGCTGTGCTCTGCTAACGATACAGTGCCTTCACGATACCCATCTTCATTCGTGTATTTTTCGTAGGGAACCGCTTCAGACCTGGACCTTGGAACCTGGGCAGATACTCAATTCCCATTGGCCTACTCGCATCCGCGTTCGTGCTGCTGATGGTGCCGATTCTGTGCTTCCCTAGCGTCACCGCACCGGATTTGACGTAAGTACTCGAGGGCCCCTCAATAAATTCCCAAAGATGAACTAACGCATTTTTCAGCGTTGCAGATATGAACTGGACATGCGTCGTGTACGGGGGTCCGATGTTTCTCGTGACAATTTGGTGGTTTGTATCCGCGCACAAGTGGTTCAAGGGACCAAAGGTGAATATCGAACACATGATGCTCGGACGCGAAGAGACTGTAGTTATAGGCCACCAAGGCCCATCGGAGGACCGCAAAGATGGAGATAGCTGGTCAGGCGAAATGCGGGCGTCTGAGAAAATCACGAAGTCGTGAGATGGTGATAGGGAGATGTTCGTAGTACGAGAACCTGTACCACGGAACACAATACTAGTATTATGATTTGTAGAAATATCGGGTTTTGCGTAGGGTATGCCCATGCATGCAATCGCTTACTAGTTTTCTCCCTGCATCCGGCCGATTGCGGCCAACTCACCACTTTCGTCCATGACTCCACACTAACACCAACACCATCGTACCATGATATTATAATACGATATATTGCTCTCAAATTGCCGTTCTTCCATCAAACCACCAAACTCGATTACACAGTAATCGGTGCTTCAAGCAATCTTCAGTAGTATAGTGGTCAGTATTTCCGCTTGTCATACCACCATCTGGCAAACCGCGGGAGGCCGGGGTTCGATTCCCCGCTGGAGAGTCTCTAGAAAGCTTCATTTAAATGGTTGGGTGGCTTGTTTTATTACAGTGTTAGGAATGCAGGGATGGCCTGTGTGCGCACACCGTATTGGTCGAAATCTTTAGAGCCCTTCTTTTGGCGACAACATCGCATCAGTTCATTTCTTACAGTTTGATAATGTGTTCCTTGCGATTTTCGGGTTGTTATGGCAATTACCGAATTAAGGCTGCGCCTCTGCTCAGCAGCCTCTAAATACATACCCGCTTCTTCAATGCGCCAACGTGCGACTCGGGCTCTTGTGGGCTTGAGTTACGGGCCACGCTGATACTCAGATACACCTAGACGGCAACTCCTCCCCGAATATGCAGAAGCCTACCAAGAAAAGTGATTGGTGCAGTTGCCATGGTCGTTCTCGGGACGTAGCCCAGCAGTTGGCCCTCCTGTCTTCACAGAGCTATAGGAGATTGAAGCGGACCGCTCCTCGGAGTATCAGCTCATAGATGTCGTTTCTACGAGGGTTTTCGGCATGTCCGTCTGCGGTTGCTTTCCACACTGCTCAGCTGATAATTCCGGGATGCGAAGCCCGAAGCATCTTTGAGCCTAGACACAAATAACTCCAAGCCATACTCACATAGAATGTTTCGAGTGGATTCAGTGAGTTGACCGCGACACTCTAATAACCAGTACCGTCCGATATCGAGCTTTCTGCTGCTAGAAAAGTCGCACTTCGGATCATGGCAGCGCCGCGACTAGACCAGCAACCGCAAGACAACACAACGCACCTACTTGTCAACGATGATCTGAACGGCTTAAAAGACGGCTTATTTATTGTCCGCGTCAACAACTGGACCATTAACCTCTTCATCGCGGTCCTAACCTTCCGACACTACAAGCCCGAAGTAGACCTGCCCTTCACCGAACAGTCCGCTATGGAGCATGTCCTCAGCGCTCAGCAATTTAGAGACCAAGCGAGATACGTGCCGCAACATTGGTTCAACGCGTACGAAAATTTCGGCCGCAGGCGTTCGAGTAAAGGGAAGGCGTTAATGAATTATCGAAAGAGCAAGTACGGAGAGAAGACTATTTGGTGCACTTTTCAGGAAACGCCAACAAGAAGGACGTACTGAATAGCTGGAACAGCATGTTGGGGAGGCTGAGCAATGTTTAGAAGAAGGGGAGGGTGCAGAGGGATCTATCCGGAGAGGCCGAAGACTTTTGGGGGCCTGGGTTTTCGAGGTAAAGAAAATGCCGCACCTGTACATAATAAGTCGCCACATGCTCTGAAACGGCCTTGCTCGCATCAGAATACCATTAAATATAATTGGTGTGATTGGAAATCGTGCAGATAAGGGTGTTTGGCCATGGGAGCTGGGGCGATCGCAAAAGAGTTAGCACGGCTCGGCTCCCATCCGAGATGTGTGCAACATCCTCCCTTTGTCGTCTTCCTCCGTATAAAACGACTCGTGCTTCCGCACTTTTAGTCGTGTTAAAAGGACTTTGTTTGGAGTAAACATAAGACTCGTGCGGCTGAACACCACACCTCCTCCAGCTCCAGCCACGGCCCGTCGATTGGACAGGTGGAGATGCCGCCCGACCCGTTAATCACCGTATCCTACCTGTCAACCCCATACATATTGAATGGTGTCGCGCAAGTCGGCCCGAAAATCTCGCTCATCCCGCTGGAATTCCGCAGTCGATCCTTTTGACGAGTCACGGCGACAGATATGGGTCATGCTATAGGCAAACCTCTCATCGATATTGAACACCGGATGTTTGAGACGTGTACTTCGCAGCACTTTTCCCGTGCACCTGTCCGTTTCAATGCATGCTCGTTTTTGTTGCTGCTATGTTTCGTAGTCCCTCACATGTGCTCTGGGCGGATGTTCGACCAGGTGTTTGGTGTTTCAGGGGACGAGGGCCTGCCAACCTTGCCATATTATCGCATCATTCGACTGGGGTGGCCTAAACATTGGATTGATACTTTCGCACGCTATTTGCTGGTCCCAGTTGCTTTGCAGATCGTTAAAGCACGGTGCGGAAGTGCAAGTGGCGCCTGCGCCATACCCGATCAATCTGTGGAAATCTCAGCTGCCGGGCATTGCCCTCTCATCAGCCTGAGCATTTCCTGTCGGATCAAAACACTCAATACCCCAGGGCGCCCATCAATGGGATTTCCTGTGACAACAACCGCAAGGATCACAACGCAGCACCGGGTGATCGCTGAATTCACCATCTACGTTTGAATGCGCACGACACGGCTACCAGGCGCACGGCAACCTCGTCAATCTCTCTATAATTGTCGCTCATATTTGCTCCGATAGCCGTCAACATCCTAGTCTAAACGACATCAACAGCCACTTTCAACTCGAATTGACGCAACAGTCTGACTACGTGGACTCCCGAGTGGATTCGATCTGATTGTCTACACGTTCATCACCCTCGACAGCCTCGGCTCGCCCAGAAATCACGCATGTCGGTACTCCAGCCAGAGGCCGGTATATTTTACGGCGTATGTTGGATCGTCGTTATTATTCGACTTATCTCGCGGAGATTACATCGAGGTTCATGGAAGCTTTTACAATTGGATGACTATTTGATACTTGTGGCCATGGTATGAACCCCACAAACTTCGGCGCCTACAGATGCTAATTAATCGTCTTTTAGGCCACAGACACTGTTCTCATCGTTGTAATGAACAAGATTGTGAAGACTAGTAGCAACCTTATTCCTCCAGGTGACAATGTCTCCAGCTATTCCGAGGCGGAGATCCAGAGTCGCATATACGGTTCCAAGCTGGTCTTGGTAGTAGTAAGCAAACATCAATATACAAACTGTATGTACGACACATACTAACTTCGTACTCTAATTTAGGAGCAGATGCAACTGCTCACAATTTGGCTTATCAAAGCCTGTCTGCTTATCATGTACAATCGCATGACACTAGTATTGCCCCAACATAAAATCGTCGTTTGCACAGCAATTTATGTCGGCGTTGCATTTGTTGTTATGGAAGTATTGTATCTTGGCGTCTGGTGCCGGCCATTTTCTCAGTACTGGGCAGTTCCTCCCAACTCGAGTCAATGTTCTGCTGCAACCAATCATCTCATCACCAACGCGATCTTCAACATATCGAGCGACCTGATCATTCTGAGCATACCGTTGCCACTCCTCTTCAAAGTACGCCTACCGAAAAAGAACAAGGCAATTTTATTCGCAATTTTCCTCATAGGCGCATTCACCATCGTTGCCGCTGCTCTCAACAAATACTACTCCTTCACGCATCCATTTGGTAACGAGTGGACTATATGGTACGTCAAGATCAATGTACGAAATGCACGCGAAGTATACACTAATCTCATACGCCCGCCTTAGGTACCTCCGAGAATCATACACAGCGATACTTTGCGCAAATTTACCCTTGACCTACCCACTCATTCAACGCATCTTCGGCCTAAGGAACTGGAACTCCCACACATACACAGATAATGGTAGATATGGGTCTACCACGCTGCCGCAGCGATCTACCCATACTAATTGGCCAGAGCCTCGGGCACCACACATACCTCGAGGGTTTCGCGATACATTTCGGCGCACAGAAAGTCAAGAAGACATAAACGGGGGGTTGGGGAAGCAAAGAGAGGAGCAAAACGACCCACAATTCATCACCAGCGCGATCGAGATGGAGAGCAACAAATCACATCGTGCCTCGAATCCGGACAGTTCGACCACCCGGCGAAGTGTTGAAGAGGGCAGCGAGCATTTATGATCCATATCCTATTGTTTAATCTAATCTAATACATGGATTTTCAGTTGCAGATTCTTTGGAAACTCGTGCTTGTTGAAACGTCTTCCAACAACAGTGTACTTTGTCTGTTCTCAAAGTGACTAGGGTTAGTTTAGGCTCCTTGTCTTATATACGACTCGTTCTGCGTCTTGAGTACGAAGGTCTGAGATACTATGCCCGTGTGAGTAACCTTAATGCGAAATCTGGCTCGCCACTGTTTCTCATCAACTACACTGTCCTACGGAAAACGCAGAATACAATGTTTTATTGTAACTTCTCACATCTAATAACACGCTTGAAAAAGTGACTGGACTATGACATCCGGTGCGCAAAGTGTCGTAGCATTTTCACATCTACATCTACATACCTGCTCACGCAACACGCACCACCCTAGACCTTAAATTTCCTGGTCTCAATCGCACTCCCCACCAAGCCCTCGCCCCTGATAACGTTCGTCGCACAAGTCACAATACGACTGCCCCTCCCCTCACCACCCACATCCTTCAACTTCTCCCCGACAAACCTCAACGCTGCAATCTCCGCCCTGGTCACGCCACCCAGGAAGAACACTACAACCGTCTTATTCCTCTCGCCCGCACTCCCATTCAACAACTGCCTCGCCTTGACCGCCTTCTCCTCCCCCTTCTGTGTCTCATCAAACGTCGCACCCTTTATGTACTTGCTTGCGTCGTCGAAGATGCGGAGGCCTTGAGCCAGCGGATTCGCCTGTGCCGAGGCTTGCGGGTTGGTAGGCGGTTTGATAGTATTAGCAAGTGTGTATTTCTGAATCACGCTCTGGATTATGCGGACACTCAAGGGAGCGTAGCCCGAGAACGTGTAGGAAATGTCGTTTGGTTCACTCTCATTCACCTCGTCGTCCCAGAGTCGTAAAGTCTTGCGCAATGGCGTGTAGTTCGTCACTGAGCCTGGTTTGGCCGGCGCACCGCTCCCGCCGCCTAAACTCACGCCTCCTCTAGCCCCTAGCAAGCCCATTTTCTCGAGGGAAGCGAGCGTCAGGATGTGTTGGGGCCCGTAGGCTTGGATGATGGCGCGTTTGAAAAGCTCGAGGTCTTTGGGGCGGAGACCGGCGGAGGTTGTGCTTTCCAGACAGAGAAGTCGGAGGATGATGGGGAGGGGCACGTCGCGGTTTATGAGCTCGGTGATGGTGTCGTGTTGGGTTGTGGGGTCGGCGCCGGACATGATGTTTTGCTGGACTTCTAGGGAGCGTGTGAAGATG